GAGGGATCCCAGGAAGGCTGGGGTCTGCCAGACCACGTGGCTAGACCCAGCTGATGGCAGTGGCCAGGATGGACGCTTTGCCCTGTGGGCTGCCAAGAACCGTGCCAGGGGAGGGGGCCCCGTCTGGCAAGACCAGCCGAGGGGCCGCACACATCCAGGGGCCCCGCAGAGAAGCCTGTGAGCTGACGCCTGCCCTTTGGTGCGAGGGTCAGGGCAGAGGGCTACGGGCTTGGGCCCACTGCACAACTCTCCCTGGCCCTGCTCTCAGCCCGCCCGACAAACAGGGCAGAGCAAGGAGCTCGGTGCTCCCTGAGACCCCCGAGCTGCTGCAGCAGCCCTGCAGCATCTCAGGCAGCTGTGGTCACACCTGGACCAGGAGTTGGGTTGCAGCATTTTGAAACCGTTGCCATGGAAATCCTGCTGGCGTAACCATGGAGACGATGCGGCTGGCACTGTGCAGGTGCTAGCATCGGGCACTTGGGAGGACAGGCGAGGACAGGGCTCAGCCGGGATTCGCTCGTGGGACGTGGGCAGGAGCAGCCCCATCAGGCACCAACCCCAGGCCAGACGCCACAGGCCTTGGTCAGCGACAAGCCAGCACGGCTCAGCCTGCCCCTCGTGGGCAGATGCCCCGTGCCGTGGGCTGGTGACCTCCCCAAGGACGCGGCAAGGGGCAGCGTGCAGTGCCCTGGTCTCATGCATGCTGACAGATGCCCAAGCCGGGGCAGGCGTCGGCAACTACAGATGAGCTGCGCCAGCTCCTGGGGCTCCCTGGGGAGAAGAGCGGGCTGGGGTGGAGCCGTTTTCTCCCTCCAGCTCCACCTGCCCCTTGGGTTCCAGGTGCAGGGCGAGAAGGCACGTGGAGCCCCTCCTGTGGCTCGTGCTTGGCCCGAGGGGACCGGTGCTGCTGGGACAACGGGGAGGAAAAGCCAATAGGCCACTCTTCAAGTTAAGTATTTTTATTATCAAAATTATTACGTCTCTTGTGAAAGTCCAAATGTTACAGCATGGTGTAAAAACGCCACCAGAGCGAGACGCTGCAGCCCCTGCCTTTCCAAGAGCTTCCCACGGTGCCACCCTCGGTGCGCAGAGCTGCTGGGACCTCTGCGTGCTGCACCCCTGCCCCAACCCCACACTGCCCCAGGGCAGAGCCTGCCTGCCCCATGCTGCACGCAGTGCCAGAAGGGAGGCTGCACCCCCAGGTGCGAGACCAGAGAAGTTTACACTTACTTTGTACAGCACACAGACACCCGGCTCTGGGGTGGCAGCTCCCCCTGCCCCGCTCACAGCCAGACAGCTTGAGAAAGTTACTGATGGTTTCAAGATTTTACAAGTCTCCCCTAGGTTAAGCAAACACCTGATTTCAACTGCAAATTGGAGCAAGTTGCAACAGTCCTGGACGAGGAAGAAGACTGCGCACTGGAGGGGCAGGGGAGACAGACTCAGCATCGGTGCATCCGGGAGCAAAGGAGAAGGTCCATGGCAGCACCAGGGTCACACTTGTCGGATACTCGCTAACCTACTATGGTTATAACTGAATATAAAATTAGATAAATAAAAACACGCCCAAGAGTACAGTAAACGAGTGAGAAAGAAGCTGGCAATTGCATGGAATCGCACAGACTGGACCCCCTGCCGAGGGGCCGCCTTGGAGCCATGGCAGCCCGTGAGCACCCTGCACAGGCCCTGCGAGGCCTGGGGTCCCCACGCCTGAGACGCGCTGCAGCCGAGCCACAGGCCCCGCGGCCAGCATGAGTCAGGCGTGCCAGCAGGCAGCTCCAGGACACCCTGGTCTCGCCCTCACTGGGAGGGGCCCCTGGCACCCTCTCATGAGAGCCACCGTGAAGGGCCAAAGCCTGGGGACAGGCTCCTCTCCCTGGTGCGCTGCAACAGGCACTGCCCAGCCAGTTCCAGGCACTCAGACTCCTGGGACAGTGGCTTTCAGTGACCTACCCTGTCACGCCAGTCGGCAGTGTGCCCACCTCCTCCCAGCAGCACCAGGCGCGCACTCACTCTCGTCCCAGTGCCAGCTCCCCTACGGGCTGCGGCGTCCCCATCACTGGAAAGGGACCCGATGGTGGCAGTCGCAGCCCAGCCCAGGGCAGGCTGCATACGCTGGTCTGTTTGTGACTGGAATGATCGTAACGGATTCAAGCCCTCCCCCAGGAGCCACCAGAGCCGGACCTACGAGGAGAGCTTTGGGATCAGTTTAACTTGCCCGGTTTTTCCTTGAACTGTTTCTTATTCAGATGTCCTTACTGCACGTGTGACTACAGCTATGGGCATGGACAGGGGACAGAGGCTGCGTCAGTCATTGCACTTAGAACCGTTTGCTTTCCTGTAATGTACCCAGACGTTAGGGAGAAGCTTTGCTACAGTCTCTGCCTCAGAGAAATCTGCTTCCTTCTCCAAGCCAGAGGCCAATGCGGCGTACGAGTCTCACCCAGATGTCCCAGACCTCAGCCTCCGACCCCCTGCACCCCCAGTATCAGGTGCAAGCTTCTAACACCAGCCCCGGGGCCGCTTCCAGAGGGGGCTGGAAGGGTCCGTAGGCAGCTCTGTCCTCCACAGGTCCAGGCAGCCCTAGGAAAGCCCTGTCTGAGTCTTTACGCCCGAGCCTTGCAGCTGCTGCAGTCTGTACTGGTGGACACTGCCTCCCCCACGGTGCGGGTAGTGCTGTGCACCGGGCACCGCGGTCCCCCTGGAGTTTGGGTGGAGGGCCGGCTGCCCAGGGCCGGGGGGAACAATAGTCCGCAAGTCCGATTGCAGTGCTCGAGCACTTTGGGGGGCGCAGGCGGGGCCCGACGCGCCTGTGCAGGGCTCAGAGGACAGCGAGTCCGCGGCACTCGGCTGCGCAGGGCTGGCAGCAGCGGGACAGCTCTTCTTCAGGAGGCTGCTACCGCCACTGCTGCCAGGGTGCTGCTGGCTGCTGTAATAGCCAGAGTTCCCGGCGAACAGAGCCGAGGAGTCCGTGGAAGCTGGGGGAGCAGGGCTGGAGTAGGAGGATTCCGAGGAGCTGAGAGAGGTGGCGTGTCCTGTCCTCTGTGACACCACTCGGTAGCTGTATCCTGGGGATGGCGCGGGATGCCCTCGGTAGGGGGAGGAGCTCTGTGCCTCTGCCCGGGGGCTGTCTGACTGCAGCAGCTGGAGGGTGTAGAGACAGGACAGGTCAGACATGCTCCCACCTGCCTCACTCACGTCAGGTGGCAGCCCATGTTCAGCAACGCTGCATGCGATTAGAAACCCACCCGAGTAGCTGCCAGATGCAACCTGAAGCTCCAAGGCTACCCGCGCCCATCACAGGCAGGACCAATGCTCCTCTCACCTGGTAGCTGTATCTGGAAGGACTGTACACTGCTGGTCCTTTGAGTGTGGAGCTGAGAGCCTCTGGCGTGTCCCCCTCCGTTGCATCTGGAAGGCACATCACAGTAAACCTTACGTCACCTCTGGACTGGAGCATTCTGCCTGGCCATGCTGCAGCCAGCTAGTTCTGCAGTCCTGGGACAGGTCAGTGGGCAGCGAAGCACAGATGGGCTCTCTGAAGCCTGAGATGGTGGCAACCTAGAAAACCCTAGTCCTAAGGCACATGAAGCACCATCACGGGCAAAGAGCTGCCACCTCTCCCACAATCCCCGGAGCTCTTCAAGCTGTGGATCCTATTGTACACACACGTCAGCTTCGTATGTGCAAGACCAGGTGAGGGAGCTCCTACGTGGGGGGGCTTTTTACCCAGCAGCTGCAAGCAAGGTCCTTCATATGCAGACTCTATCAGGTGTGCAAATGCAGCATAGGCCAGAAGCAGAGGCTAACTGGGACAGCCTGCTGTCCCCCTACACTGGGGCCATCACTTGCTAGACCCCCTCAGCATCACTCTTACAGCTCAGATTCGTAGGTCTGGAAGGGACCTCAAGGGTCACCTGGTCCAACCCCCTGCAGAATGCAACTCCTAAGCCACCTGCGTCCAATGCACACCCAGCTTTGCTGGAAAACCTCTAGTGAAGGAGACTCCACCACGCCCTGGGCAGCCTTCTCCACTGCCTTAACTGTAAGGATGTTTTTCCACAGATCTAATCTAAAACCTGCTCTGCCACAATTTAAGGCCAGTGCTTCATGTCCTGGTCTCTGTGATAAAGGAGAACTATTCTCTCTCCCTTCTTTATGGCAGCCTTTCAGATATTTGAAAGCTGCTAATCTGTCCCACCATCTCCTTTTCTCCAAGCTGACCATTTTGCACTGCAGACTCACGTTGACCCTGAGATGCACTAAAACTCCAGATCCTCCTCAGCAGCACTACTGGCTAGCCAGTTATCTTCCACCCTGTCTGCATTTCACTCTTCTTCCCTTACGCTGGTCTGCACTGAGCTTCATCCTGCTGTCTTTAGCTCAGCTCCCCAGCCTGGCCAGATTCTTATGAATTCTACTTCTATCCTCCAAAGCATTTGCATTTCTTCCCCTCCTGGGTCACCTGCAGATCTGATCAGGAAGCTCTCAATTCTGGCATCCAAATCTCCACCAAACATGTTAAACAGCATCAGACCCATGACCCCCGCCCCCAGGGAATCCCGCTCGAGACTTTCTGCCGTTCCAAAATGGATCCGTTTACAATTGCCCTCTGCCTGCAGTTATCGATCCAGTTACTGGTATGTACCCACCTGACTAATTTTATCAAGTCCATGCTTCTCCAGTTTGCTTTCACGTGGGCCTCTGAGGCCTTACTCAAGTCCAAGCACACTGTGTCCACTGCAATCTCTCCACCCACTGGGCTAAGAACGTCAGTGTCTCTATCCTCAGAGAACTTCACCGAGCTTAGCCAGTTAACCCAAAGGGCCCTGGAGATATGGGGAAAACTAAATCCCAGGGCAGTTAAATCTGTGGTGGAGCCTAGATTCAGTTCTTAGGTCCAATCCTGTGATCAACTACAAGACTTGTTAGTTGCAAGAAGAGATGGGAACAGGCATTGGGCCTTGCTCACTTCAGGAGGAAGCGTGCCCGGGATGGGTCTCTCAGGGTGCCGGCGATGTTCAACGTGAAGATGCCACTTGTACTTAAAAGCCAAACCCATTCTGCGCCCAGGATGAAATGCAGGTCCCTTCCAGAAGCTCAGCTGCTTACCTGGGTCTCTCTCGGCAGCACCGTCACCAGAAGGCGAGGGTTCGCTTCTCTGGGATACCTTTGCACCGCTGCGCAGGACCTTCTCAAGAATGCCACGGCCCTCCCGAAGCCGCTCCACCGATGTGGGAACCATCCTGCAACAGAAAGCAGTCAGCAGTGAGGCCCACCTAGGAACAGTGACTGAAGGGCTTGCGGGCCCCTGGCTAGCGCTACAGGAGTGGCATCTGCTCAGAACCTCTGCTGTGACGTCCATGGCAGAGTGCAAGGCCCCGCCCTGAAGAACGGCATCTCCAGACCGGCAGTTCCCAAACTCTGACATGTTGCGCACCACCAATTTCATAGATACATAGATTTTTAGGGAGAGAGGGGACCTCAGCAGATCATCGACTCCAACCCCCTGCCCTGGGCAGGAAAAAGTGCTGGGGTCAGATGATGAATTTAAAAATGATACAACCTTAAATACCACCAGCAAATTTTTCAGTTCAACCTTAAGTACCACCAGCACATTCTCTCATATAAAGTAACTATAATCAATCTGTTAACGCGTGCCACCGAAAGATTGTCTGCGTACCACAGACTGGGAACCACTGCTCTAGGCAAAGGCTGCAAGGGGCACAGTTCTGCACTGCTTCTGCAACATAAGCAAACTGCAGGGGATTTCACTGTCAGAGCCTGTCTGCCAAGCACAACTGCTGTCAGGAAATTCCTACAGCATTGCCATGGGGCAACAGGATCTCTCCTCTTAACTGTCAGAAGTAACTGGAAGATGTCTACCGCGGTCTAGTGAGACTGAATCTTCTTCTCCCAGGAAAGGGATTCAGGACTTAACAGCATGTGTGAAGGTGTGAATACATATAGCCAGATGCAGTCACTTGGCAGAAATGAGTTTCTTTTGTACTGAAAAAGCAGCTAAATGCAACAAACTATGATGATGAAACATTGTGGTGGCTCTGTTACAGCATGTGCCAGAAATGTAAGGTTTCTGGAATAAGGGTAGTTAGACTGCTTCTCTCACTAATGCTCCTTTCTATAGCCTTTTCCTTTGCTAAATTTAAAACGATCCGTAATACAGAAACAGTGCAAGACTGTACACAACTGCTGCCCCATCATGCTACACGCTGTCCAAAAAATGCTGGAAATGTTCCTGCTCTGAAGATGGAAACCAGTGGCAAAGAGACCTCCCAAGGTCATGCTCAAGGTCAATAGCTGGCTTGGAACAGAACAAACCTACTTCCACTGGACCGTCCGGCCTCCTACTCTTCATGCTTGTACATGAAGTAGCAGCACCTAGATTCAGCACCACCTTATGACATTAGTACT